AAAAAACGTTCGTTTTTTACCACTGATATTACGTCAATCGGTACGGTACACTTATGTTGTCGAAAGGTCCGTGAGCATGGTAAATGATTTTACCTTAAACTGCAGACACATCTTCAATCACTCCTTATGAGGGTCTCAATGGGGTGGTGGCTTTTACGGTTATCGGCTAAAATTCTAGCTCTTTTACGGCTATCGGTTAATTTTTTGCAGTTACGGTTAACAAAAAAGTTAAAAATTAATTTCTTTTGTTTCAAAAAGTTAAATATTAATTAACCTGTATTTTTGTGTCTTTAAAGCAAAATAAAGGTCTTCGGATCATCTCGGGATAAAAGAAGCTATTCTATTAAAAAATTTTCACATTTTATAGATCAATATACTTTAATAAAGCATTCCACCTCTAATATTATTTTACACATAGAAATGCCAATAGTAAGCAGACACGCGAACGCCCAACTCAAGGCCGGGGCGCGACATTCCACACTAGAGACGGCTTATTCGTGTGAGACGGGTTATCCGTTTCATGATTCGCGTCAGATAGGCAATACGTCTCAATTTGAACATGGAATAGTTTTAATTTTGAAAAGAACAATCCCCCTGACTTTATCCGTCAATTTTGAAGGACGGAAGATGGATTATCCGTTACAGATAGCCTGTGTACAGCCGCAACCTCCCCGCAGAAAAAATTGGAGAAGGGGTGTCTAACGCTGTGGAGAAGGGGGCGACTGTACATAGGCTAGTCTGGATAATCCCTTTCTAGCTCTCGTGTGAAAATGGCCAATAACAAAATTCCCGTGTCCAGTGTTTTTAATGATAGCGAAGGACTGTACAAAACGACTGCGTGTCGTTGCCTTGTCCGTAGACCTCATTATTCCGCGCGGCTAATGCGTTTCGGGTCACGTGGTCCGAGCGAGTTCGCCTCCGAAATACCTTGACCGAGATTGCGTGGGAAGACGCCGTACATGCAGGGACTAGGCATGACAATGTCTACCGTAGCGTCAGAGAAAAACAAGAAAATGTTGTTTATCGGCAACGTGTTTTACAAACAGCTCTGCGTGTTGTTTCAGTAGTAGCCCTCTTTTGCTATAGGAAAAATTAGCTTCCCGAGATAGCGGCGGAAAAGGAGCCTAGGTCTTGGTCAACACCTAAAAGGCTTTTCGCCTAACGTGCGTAGGGAGTCAAAGTAGCCGGAAAATAAAAAACGCAACCATAAGAGAGTTAAGCACCTTCCTTAAAATTAACAAATCTAGGGAACAATATTTTTTACGGTAAACTCTTTTTACCCAATTTACTTCTAACGGTTAAAATTTTTCAATTTTTACGGCTATCGACTAAATTTTTGGCCTTTTTACGCCTATCGGTTAACCCCATTGAGACCCTCCCTTATTGTTCGCGATATCGGATAAACACTCTGGTCTCTAACTGAATTTTCTTTGCTGTTTACTTTATTTTGAATTAGGACTGTCTTGAGTTGTCCATGCATTGTCTAGCGATTTTAAGCTTTTTCGAGGAAACAAAAATCTGGAATTGTCCCTAGGGTGAGGCATTTGCGCACGGTTTTAAAGCCCTTCGGTGGGGTGACTGTGGTTTTTGTTGTCCCGGGCTCATCCCTCATTCTTCTTAACCCCTTCCAAACCAATTTTTCTGTTTATCAAGAATCTCCTCAAAACGGGCTTCGTGATTGAGACAAAATACCTGAAAATTGTACACGGAACCGTTGTTAACGGTGTACAAGGTAGAATGAGTCTAGTCATTACTTTGCCAACGCCCAATTTTTAAAACCGGAAGTAATGATGTTTATTTAATTTCAAGGCTCATGTCTCATGGGTTTTGAGTGAATCTTCAAACGCTGTAAATACATGTAGCTGGAACCATCATCGCATCGATCCTCGCTCACTAATAATGATAACTTTTATCAACTTCCATTATTTATTGCCTGGCTAAGATTTTCACGGATTCTTCAGTTCAGTTGTTTGAAACCAGGCGGCTTCACGTGAGTTGTAACGCCAGGCAAGGAACGTGACGACCCGCGATATGCGTGGGAAAATATTACTTTTTTTCGATCAAGGTGGAAACTGGCAACTTTGTCGTCGAGTAAGGTAATACATCTCAATTTTCATTACTATGGTTAATTTTAAAAGCTCTGGTTTCGGTAAAGGAACTGGAGAAAAATCAGGAAAATTCCTGTTCGACTGTGATGGTTGGATTTTGTTTACGCGTCATAGCATAAACATAACAAATTCATTTTCCTTTTCCTCATACAATCTGCCTTTTTTATACTGTTTTTCGCAGCAGAGTTATCGATTATATTACAGAGGCTAATTTTATTACACAGATCACTCAGATTTAATGACAGAAACTCTATTATCGATTGTAATTTTGGCAACACCTGGCGAGTATTCGGTGTACAGATTATTGACAAAGTCGCTAGAACAGTCTTCTTCCATTCATTACTTTTGTTTCTGCTCCGTTAAATTTGCCCAATTTTTTTATTAATGAACTCGATTTAACTACAAACAGTGAGTATTCAGGCAGATTGGCAAGCTTCAATGCGATGTGGCAAAAGAGATATACGCCTTTAAAATTCTGTTAATTTTGCGGGTGTAAAAAATTCAAAAAGTATACCCACCAAAAGTTTAATCGATCGTTGCGAAAACGTTATCAATTTCGAAGTAGTTTCTAAAAATACAATAAAGAGGGATTGTTCTTTCAATCTGTATTGGCAAAGGAAGATTAGCTTTGAAGACAGGGTTGTAGTCGAAGGCTCAAAAGCAGCTTCTATTAACCAATATGGCGCCGGTCCGAGGCACCCAAAAACCGGCCATGTCGATAATTTCCGAAGTAGGAGGAATTAGAACCTAAAGTTACCTATTCCTTATTAAAGACCTCAAATCAAGTCTACATGCCAATTTTTAGCCAATTCGGTGAGATAGTGTGGTAGCGCCTTTTTAATATAGCTCGAATCTTACAGACAACTGCTCTTAAAATGCATTCTGATGTATTTAGAATTTATGAATTGCGTTCGGCACGGCAGTAAGACGACGTTTGAAGCCAAGACGTGCTACTCCCGTGCTAAACTGAGTTCAGCAAGGCATGCACGACGTTTGAAACAGGCCTAAGAGCAATTCTGTGGCGATACAAAACCGCCGTTGGAATACGTACACGCTGCCTTATCGGGAGTGAATTACAGCAATTTATTGGTAAAGCCTTACGAGACTTTTTGTGCCATCAAAAGCGAATGCAGATTATAACAAGAGCAAATCTGATAAATAATTCAAAAGGAGTTCCTTCTGTTTCGCAACGGCAAAGCATAAACGCAGTCAGTTCCAGAAGAACCGATTCAATCCACCTCAGTAAAACAGGAAGTAGCCTCTCATACTGTGAGCTACTGTGACTGTGCCTTAGTACTGAGTTTTGTTTAGCCAGTACTCAAAGATAAGCTTAAAAAGTGCTTTATTTTCTGAGGAAGCTTAGATCCGTTTCGTCAGACAAAGCAGATAATTTTTTTTTTTCGGTTGATGCATGTAATTGGTAGATTCAGATCAAATATTAGTTGTTATTCATTAGTAATTTTTTCAAGTACATTTGTACTAACTGCACGGAGTAATTTTCATTTTGATTCCACTTAAGCTCGATTTGTTTTTTAGGGTTGATTATTAATTCTACCTAAGGGAAAGGCGAAATACAGCCTCTGAATTTATTCATTTTGGAGCACAAAAATTTAAACAAAAAGACATCTGGAAAATAAGCCAATTTCGTACAAAGAAAGTCACTCAAACAATACTCCGGCAAAATATTTCTCCGTTTTTGATAAGCCAAAATGCCCCACCCCCCCGGCTAATTCTTCATAACCAGCAGGCTTTGACCTAATTTAGAAGACGTTTGCGATATTAGTCCATGAGCCAAGTCCTGAAATGTGGCTAAAAATCAATTTTCGTAGCACCCCCCGTAAGACATAGTGAATTTAGTATCAAATTAAAGCTTGATTTCCATATTTTGATAATCTACCTGTTACTTTTTATGTAACCTGTGCTTAAGTGAGAAAATCAACTGTTTCTGAGGGGGGTGGGTAAGGACAAATTGCGCTTCCCAAATGTACAAGAAGTGCAAAAGATAACTTTCTGTGTAAATACCAAACGGTTTTACACCAAACTGGGCAAAAATACTAACCTCACCATATTTTATGAAACGAACTCATCGAATATGTTTTCTTCAGTTACCATGACAACCGCATTCGGCTACACTTCTCACTTTTACCGTGTACTTTGTACTAGTGAGTGTTTTTTGAACACACGGAATTGAGAAGGAAGCACAGAAATATTTGGTCTTACTGGCCTGACATTTTTCGGGAATACTGCTTAACTAAAGTCCTTGCAGGTAAATACAAATTTAGCTGGGGGTGGGGTGGGGGAAGAGCTTTGTGACCTCTAAACATTAATATCTTTTAGAAACTAGTGGTAATCATTGATTACAGATCAGCGTTCGTCACTTACGGAAAAATTACGGAACTTCCTCGAGTCAAAAGAAGTCCAGCTTCCCGGCCGAGGTGCCCCTAAAAAAATTAATAGGAGCGGCTAATCTGCAGTCGCCTGTGATAGCACGATAATTTCTGCCTTAGTGCCACAGGAACACCAGATTAGGATGCGTTCTAACGAACGCGATGAAATGAGTTTGCAATGAAATTTGCCAATTTTTTTATGATAACTAGAAGGTTATGCATCACAGTAGCTGTTTATACTGTTTCCATGGCAACGGTTGCCTACTGAACTTCTAATACACGTATTTACACTGTTTTTGTTTTGATGATGACCATCGAAACATTTGCGATTTCAAAAGATCCTTACGTCCTCATGACTTGGCCTTCCATTTCACAACTGGCTTTTTTCTGACCAAAAACTACTTTTAAGTCATACGATCAAATTACATTTTTGTAATCATTCAACTCATAGATTTAAATACGTCAGCTAGACAGCCGATACTAATTAGCGTCACCAAATCTGAATTTAACTGTCATTTTTATCTTCGGTATCGTCATCATTATCATCAACATCAGTATTGTCACCACTATCATCATCTTCTTCACTATCTCCGTTGCTAACACAATTGACACAGTTATCTTGGCATGTACACGCCTCAGTGCAGGGAAAACTATTGCCAACACAAGAGCAGCGTCGTGTTTGACATAGTCCTTTGCAGCCGCAGCATACAAGCTCCATCACAGCATCGGGGGCTGGTGCCTGGTTAGTCCAGTAGATTTCCAGTTGGTCTTCTTTCATCTGCCAAGCATGGCCATCGGGCGCCTGGTCCGTTTGTGTCTCTAGGGCATGCTTCCAGAGGAAGGCCTGATAGTTAGCACGCTTGAGGTGGTATGTCAGAGCTCCTTTTGTTGGTGGAAGCTGGTGTGACTGCAGGTTTTTGCTCTTGCAAAACAACTTGTACCTTAGTTCGTTTACATCATTGCATCTAGGGTCATTGTACAAGGCACAAACAAATCGTTCCATCTTCTTTAAATCTTCTTCATTAGGAGGGAGCCTCTCACCAAGACTACTGACAATTTGCCTCAGAGCTGGATTCAACTGTACAATATCAAGTGCTTTCTTCTTTCCTTTGGTAGAAAAGGCACTGACACTATCACAACCGGTTATGGCATGTAGGCTTGGAAGTACTTCACATATCTCTCGGCCAAGCTTTTCACATACTTGTCGGATACTCACAATGCGAGATCTGCTTTTAGTGCCGCTGATCAGTGTTATGTCAGCAGCAATGACAGCTTGGTAATAACAAGCTAGAACGTCTACATCTGTATCAGATGACCTTATAGCAATGTGCTGATGTCCATTTTGAGAAGCATGATTTGCGTGGAGGAGCATCCTTGTATCAGCTTCCTCTTGATTGCTGCAAAGTTCGAAGACTGTGCATGCAGTAATTGTACCATCAGAGGCGAACAGTTTGGTGCAGTTGTCTCCATGAGTGATAAAGAGAGTGCGTTCTTTGATTTTCTCGGCGTAAACCGCATTTTGTGACCACTCACGTGCAAGGAAGTTTAAGAGACCGGTTTTGTTGCTTCCCTTTGCCATGAACTTTCTCCACTGACGAGGGTAGAACTGTTGACCATTGGTAACGTTGATGACTATCTCACCATCTCTGCCTCGCTTGTTCCTCTCGGTGTTTTTAATTGAGTTAGCTGGATATTGATCTCCTACAAAGTCGATTCTTGCTGCCTCTCCAGCCTCCATCAGAATTCTGGTCATCACCATGTCTGCCACCTCAGAAAATCTATCAGGTATCCTTACTAGCGTCTGCAGCATCGCCATGGCGTCTATGATGACAGCTATTGTCAGATCAGGTAAAGTCGGCAGGCATTCTGCTCCATTTTCGAGTAGCTTGGAAAGAATTGCTTTGTTTGTCTTGGCTAATGAACCATCGGATGAAGCCAACGACCATGGAAGGGGACCAAGCTCGTGACTCAGCAAATCTTTGAGGTCCATCGGGCGACTCTGTCCAATGACTAGAAGGCGGGCAAATAAGGTCCTGTCGGCTCTGATTATGAAGTTCCTGTCTCCTGCTGTTACAGAGGTCTTCTTCTGTGCATCACGGAAACTTCCTAGCTTTAGTTTGGGGAGTGTTTGAAAGAATCCTGTTGAATTTGTCACCAGTCTTTCTTCTACGAAGGCCGTCAAAGCCGTTGTGCCCTTCTCTTTTGCCAGGAGCAGGTCGGCCTTCATACGTTCACTGGCAACATACCCAGAGCTAAGACTAAGAAGTTCCTCAGATGGTTCAAACGGGTTGCGCCAGTTACTGATTACTTCGAAAACTTTCTTTGCGTCGTCCTCATCTCTTTTCATGCGAGCTGGGCTTGCCTCTTTGTGCAGTCTGCGTTGGCTTTCTTGAACATTTGTTGTCATCTTCCGACACTTGTCTACGAAAGCAGCACGGGAGTGAGCAGTAATCATCCATCGCTGTACAGCACCTTTCCTCAGGCTGAACCCAACAATTCCTCCCTTTGTCTTAGAGCTTCTGTTCAGGGTCTGCTCAATTGTTTGATCTACAGGCATCCGTGAAAACTCATGTAATGTTGTTCGCTGGACACCATTTAACAGGAGGGTATGTGCCTCTGGGTGAGTTTCTGGTAGCAACATCATGTGGGCTAAGTACACTGGATGGTAACGAGCATAATTAGTATGGTCGTAGGCGAAGAACCATGGTAGCATCTCCTTGATGCCTTCAAGATGCATGGCCCAGTTCCCTTCCTTGGTTGCTCTTACGAAATTTATCAGCACCTCCACCATCTCCAGGTAGCTATTCCAAAACACCTTTAACGGACCATTGTCTTCTTTACAGTATTCCTTGTAAAGATTGAAAATTTCTAGAAAATCCGGCATAGACAGCAGCCTGTTAAATTTCTCTGTGCTAAACTCTTTGCGGATGTCCTCTATGGCACTGACAAGGATCATCCGGTTGCCACGGTGACCACTACGTTGCAGCCATGACTGACTACGTTGCAGCCATCCACTGTAGTCGGTGCATTGCTTCAAACACAATCTAAAATAACAAAAGGTTCAAAAAAGTTGTTTATTTTATTTACGTAGCATCGATTAAAAAAGTTGAAAGTGAAGTTATGATCCTGTAGGAATCATCAAGATATTATCCACTCAGCTCTATAAAGACCTAATCAAGCTATGTGTACCTTATGTGTACGTACAGCTCGGTTGTAGTGACGACCTTCAATAACCCCAGCCACAGATCCTGAGCCCACGATACCACTTTCAACCAAAACATCTGCAAGGCCGGTATCTCCGAATCGCTTGCCAATAACAGCAAGGAAGGCACAGATGGTGCGAAAGGAGCCAATCCGGACAACCAATCGCTGAAACTGGTCCTTGTTCTGCCATAGTACTTCAAGTGCTTTTGCGTAGTTCGCTTGATCGAAAACAATAATTACATCATGTTGCCCTAGCTGGTCAGCCATTTGTAAAGATCTTTGCAACACTGTATACACTGTGGGAAGTTCTGTGGGACTGGCTTCAATAACTTGGCAATAGCCAACTGAACATTCAAGTGGGACACTTTCCTCGCGTAGTTTGATGTTGAAGCCCGACCACGCTGGTATAACCTGCCTTTGATTATCTTCCAATGAAAATGGCGTGTCTTTGATCGGCATTCTGCAGAGTGTCCAGCCAAAGTCGATGACCCGTGCATAAGCTGCAATTTCCGGGGAGGCTTGTTTAATGGCGATGAGATCAATTTCGATTGTATCAGGTCCCTGTCTAGGTCCCGAATGATATGGAAGTACGTCAGTAGAGATGCAGGAAATAGAACGTTTTTTGGAGCGATTTTGGTTATTGGAAGTTTCAGGTGGTAGAGCACAGCTAAGAGGTTTGCGTTGAATATCAATGCCATTAGTGCAATGAGTCGTTCCCTTACCTGAAGAGCAAATAACAGAAGAAATATTGATGTAAAAACGTGCCTTAATCAACACTAAAAAGGACTTAAATCAAAACTACAAATCCTGGCTGTTGGTTGATATTTTAACCTACCTAACCAATTTGTCGAGAACGGAAACTATTTAAGTCTACTTTAAAGACTTCTTTTCATAGTTTTTCTAGTTACAGATTGGAAACGTTTTTCTCATACGCTGAAACAAAGTGTATGAGCAGTTTACTTTCAATTTGGACTACAATTTACCTGACAAGGTTTCCTCTTGTAGGTCGTTGTTATCCCAGCAGAAAACGCCTGGTACATTAGGGTAGCAGACACTTGGTACAAAGACCCTATTCTGTCGCTTTGCAATCTGCATCTCTGCCAGAGCTGTCTCCACTTCCTCTATTTGGGAGTATGATAAACTATGTCCAAATCTGTTTAGAATGGTTATCAGTTCAGCATTCCCCGTCAGGCTCTTTACAGTCATCGGAAGGACGACATTTTTTGGTGTTTTTATTCGTCCACGAGTGGCAGAATGTATCAAATCCTGAGAAAGAGAGAGGGCGAGGCGATGAACCTCCGGAGAGATGTCTGAAACTCTTTCAACAGAATATTCGGACTTTGTTGATAGAATCCATGCCATCATATTGTAGAGCAAATCAGGTACCATCTCAATCTCACACTCTAAATCTTCTGATGATGGTGGCCATGGCATTGTTGTTATCATGTTGGCAACTAACTTTTGTACTGTTTTAGCCGTATGGTAAACTTGACGGCTTACCTCGTCTTGTGCATTTGTTAAATCCGGCTCACTGTCACTGTTTGCCATTTGCTCTTCATCAACAGACGTAGTACTCTTGAACACGGTTTCTACCACCTCTCCTGTTTTGACGTTCAAACTATAGACTAATTCTGATTGGTTTTGGTTCGAAGGTCGATGAAAGGATAGTCGTTCTCCAAAAAAACGCGTAAGCCGGTTCTTCAGCTTAGTGGACCTGTACGTCACTACATTTACTCCTTCTTCGGTAAGGAAGGAAGTGTATTTTTCAATAAGGGTTGACATTGGAATGGCTTTTGCCGCAGCGATGACTTCTTTTTCAACAAATTCTTCGACTTTACCAAATGCTCTGTCATAACCCTCAGTTCCAGCATCTTTTTCTTGACAATTCTGCTCTTCTAACTTAGCCAGTTGCTTTGGGTGGATATAATTTTTGTAGCACGATCGATGATACTTGATCTCCATAGCTTTAGTGTCTCGTCCATCAATGTGCAATAGCATGCAGCTGTCATTCCGAATCCGGGCTGCTTTTATCAAAGTGGCACTACCAAATTCACTAATGTTTAGTGTAAGAGTTTCTCTTGTTCTTGCTCCTTTGCCGTAGGCTTTCTTGACTTTGTCCTTCTGACAAATTGCACATTTATCAATGTCAAATGTTTAAAGTTGTGACCTACAGACCCTCTTACACGAAGGCTCAATACCACTGGACAGCCCAAGAGACTCTCCATCTCGATCCTCTCTGGTATTGCAATGACTTTGTTCCTCCTTAGACACTTTGTCTATGTCTGTGTATTCTTGGTAGCATTGCCAGTGATATCCCCCTTTTGGTCCCTCATTCCAGTAGTCCTTCATTATCAACCAGATTTCATCCCTTCTCCGAGTCGAGCAGCTTTCAAACTTCTCCCAGCTTTTGCTAGTAAATCCTTTTAATTGACCTTGAACATTTTCTTTTACATGACAAAGGCATCTATTCCCGTTAGGTTTCTGTATCGAGCTGGACATTGAGCGCTTTCTAGTACAACTTACTGGCGTAATTTCTGCCATATCCTTGATTACACTAGCTTGTTTTCTGAAACTCTTCAAATGTCACTAGAGAATTAAAAGAAGCAAAAAACCTTATTTCCTTAACACAAGCAAAAACTTATTGAAAACATAACTTCTACGCTTGATTTGACCGCTCCCACGCCAAAAGCTTCAGTATCGATGTTGTGGTGAAAACAAAATCTGACAGACTACTTACAGTTATTCTAGTAATGTTCTGTGGGAATTTTAGCTTTTAAAAAATAAAATATATTATACAGAAACTTACAGACGTTACTTGAGTTTATCTTGTACAACCAGGAATCGAAATTAAGAGGAAAATCTGTATAAAACCACCATTTTCTTACCATTTTGTCTGCACGCCATTTTCCAAGATGGCCGCTCATGGATAATAAGTTTGAATTGCATCATGGGATATACAATCTTTCATGGAATAGCGGACACTGGATTATTATCAAAATGTGCCGGCTTTTCTTTCATTTAAAAAATAATAGAAGAAAACACTTTACAGATTTTGGTCTGTCCACTAGTCTCAAATCTATTTTGAGTTTTTATTTTCTTTCTCTTTGCTATTAAACGAATTACAACAATTGTGAAACAAATGAACTGATTGACTTGCGAGAATATTATTGAGCCTTAAAGCCTTATAGTTCATAAAAAGTAAATAGTTTACAAAAAGAATGATGCTAATAATGCTTTGGTGTTCAAAAAATAGTGTCTGTGAAAAATCCTGTTCATAATGTACATATTAATGTAATATCCCTGTTTGAAATATTTGCCTAGCAACGGTTACCATGATAACACCCTATTGAGACTCAGACAAAGACGAGTACAGCAATTTACTTAAAATAAACTTTTCGTCAGTTTTCTCCATATTGGATCAGCAGTTTTTGAAGTATTTGTTGTTTTAAGCCTCAAAAATGTATTCGTGCGAAAATGTAAAACCGTCCCCCCACCCCCTCAGAAACAAGTGATTTTCTCACTTAGGCACAGGTTACATAGAAAGTAACAGGTAGATTATTAAACTATATACAATAAGAGTTAATTTGATACCAAATTCGCTATGTCTTACGGGGGGTGCCACGAAAATTGTTTTTAAGGTGTCTTGGCTCATGGACTATATCCCATAAAATGACCCAATCAATAATAGAAGACGGCAACCGAGAAGCCATGGGGACGAGGTCGGGGTGGGGGTGTTTTGGTAGAGCTGGAGAAAATGCTGGAAAATGTCACAAGTTAGCGAAGAAGAAATGGCCGAACTACTGCCTAATTAAAGACATAGAAAGAAACAACAAAAACTCGACGGATGGCAACTGCTAGACTTAAAACATTCCTTTATCCCCTGAATTTTCCGAGGAACAGGCAAATGAAGGCAGGAACTTAACATCGATCGAGGTAAGCATGTTTTACCTTACATTTAAGCTAAAATTATTTGGAATGAATAATAAAGCAATTATTGGATTCTGCTTTCGCACGATCTGAAGAATTATGCAGATCTCGGAGGGTATTATTCACCTCGGCCTTTGGCCTAGACTCAAAATGGCCTAATTTTTAACATGAAATTCACTAGCATCAACTTTCCGAACCTTGCTCATTATAAGTTTAGCTTATGTTTTAGTAGTTACTAGTTCATTGACTCGCTATCTTTGTAACGTGTTGGGTTGTGTTACTGTGTGAGGAGTATTTTCAGGAGAACCCAACGACGGTTTCCTCCTCACTTTTTAGGCTATCCAGAGTACTTTCAGATCTCTAAGAGAAATGCATTCTAAGCGACGGTATAAAATTTGCATCTGTTCGGTCGTCCTAGGGCAACTTGAGTCTTTTCGAAATTACTAGGGCCTCAGTAATATTTTCCCCGAAAATTCTAGATGCAATTTTAGGTTTTACGAAAGCGAGAATTTTTCTGATTCCTCTCTCCATCGCATTTTCCAACCCGAAAATTTTAGGTTACCTTTTTCTACGAAAATAGGCTAACTTGGCGACTGAAATGCGAAAAACTAAACTTTAGAAAATCGTAGGGAATTTACTAGATATGCTACGAAAATTGGTACATGCATGGAACGGTCATCTAGAAATTTTTAGCCTTCGATCCTCAAGCTATAGAAAATTCTAGGCAATTTTTGCTTCTCCGAACAGATATTTTACAGAAAACAGTCGTTGGGTGATCCTGTATTTTCACTTTCGCTTTCAGTGTTATGAGCATCGGTGTAGGCGATTGACCTCCCATTGCCGGATTTGCTTTAGGCCCGGGGGGAGTACTCCCAGTAATAGCCTATACGGGGAGGCTCCGCCCCAAAGGGGTACCTTTTTCAGGCTTCAGGTATATGAAAGGGTAGAGATTTTGCTCGGTTGAGATATGATATATGAAAAGATAGAGAAATCTGTCATTGCGCTCTATAAAAGAATACAAAAAATGAAACAGAATCGATTTTTCAAATCCTGCTGTTATAGCTCGACATTCCTTGAGCGTCGCACTTGAATTTCACCATTGTCTGATGTTTTCTTTCCATTATGTGTTTCTGTTTAGCTTAGTCACAATGTGGATGTGGGAGGGCGTTAAAGGACTATTTTACACCAAACATAACGCAGGTAAGAATGGCGATGAATTTTTATTTAATTTTTATTTGAGTTTAGATTAGGATTGTAATATTACTTTTATACAGTCTCGAGGATTTTCTGACTTTTTTATATTATATTGTAAGAGCATTGAGATTTAATGTAATAAGTTAGAAATAAATTATTATTATGAATATTATTATTATTCATTAAAATTATCTGAAATGTAAAGAAATTAGCTTTAAGGTGGCTCGAACCTATTTATATGTGCGTTGGTTATGTTTTTAAATCGCGTTTTTTGGCAGGAAAGATTTGACCGATTTAAGTGATTTTTGACATCCTTAATAAAGAATGGTCGAACTTTAACACACTGTTATTTATTTTCTTGTAGGTATAAAAACGTTTGAGATATCGGTATATGTTCAAAACCACATTTTTACAAAAAATATCAATAACTTCGAAACCCCAAGACAGGCTTATTTGGTGTAGTTAGAGAAAATCTATCTTAGGGTTTCGAAATTATTGACATTTTTTGTAAAAATGCGGTTTTAAACATATGCCGATATCTCAAACGTTTTAATACCTACAAGAAAGTAAATAACAGTTTCTTAAAGCTCGACCATTCTTTATTAAGGAAGCCAAAAATCATAGAAATCGGTTAAATCATTCCTGCCGAAAAACGTGATTCAAAAACATAACCAACGTGCATGTAAATAGGTTCGAGCCACCTTAAAGGTGCTCGTGTTACAAAACAGTTATATTCAAAAACTTACCTTTAACTTGAGATTTGGGGTTAAAGCTTTTAGGTTTAGAATAACGAGTGAATGATCCGTGTTGGGACGTTATTTTAAGAGGGTATTAATGGGGCGGTAGCTTTGACGGTTGACGGTTATCAGTTTTAGAGCTTTTGACGGTTTAGTCCAAGAGTTTAAGAAAATACCTCTGTCAAAATTATTAGTGTTAACTGTTGTGTTTTGGAGATTGACTTGGCCTTTCACTTATAAAATTTCGAAATATTTTCAAATATAAGCAAGTTGTAAGGTCTTGTAATATCTAGAGAGAGTGTTTTTGAGAACAAGGGAACTGGTTTTTCCAGTTTAGAGATTCTTCAGGAGCCATAGGTCCTTGAAGATCAGCTGAAATAGTGAGATTTGAAATACCTTGAAACCTTGTGAAGGTTTATGTTAATCTGTATTTTTGACTATTGACGGTAGAAAAACTTTCCTTTTTGACGGCTGACGATTAAATTTTTTGGCAGTTTGATGGCTGACGGCTAACCCCTCTGAGATCCTCTTTTAGCTTCTTCAAATCTAGTGTTTAAGTAACTTTTATTGGAGTTAATTTAACCGTTCTTTTATTAATAGCATTTTTTACTCTGTAGCAAAGGAAATGTATTTCCTCTTTGGAAATATATAAAAAAAATGTTTTACGTGTAGAAAAAATCTCCAGTGCAAGGGTTTAATTCAAGTCTACACTAGGAGTTTGCCCAATCCTTAAAGGACACTCTGATCCAATGGATGACTCGAAAACCAAATAAAGAACTACTATGGACAACCGCCTAAGTCAGTTTTCGGTTACCACTGATCACACATGTCCAATACTCTCGACCAGATTCTAGTGGACAAAACCTGGAGTCCGACGGAGTCTAGTCGAAAAATGAAACCGGAAGTACAGCAGAGTCCACTTGAGTTACCGGAAGTTTAGTCATAAGATGAAACCGGAAGTGTAATAAATACTTTGAGGGGGGTTGGAAAGTCGTCCGATGGGGTCCATCGGATCCATTGGAAACACATCGATTCCGATGGAATCTCAGGAAGTCTAGTCGCGCCATGAGTCAAAGCAAGCACACTGCAAGTGTAACATAACTCGTTCTTTAAGCCCTAAGTCGAGACTGGCAAGCCACATAACTCGTTCTTAAAGCCATGAGTCGAAACTAGCACGGTACACATGTAACATAAGCTAACATAAGTCGTTCTTAAAGCGATGAGTCAAAACAAGCGCGCTACACAAAAAAAATAACTCGTTCTTAAAGCAATGAGCCGAAATAGGTCGAAACGAGCACGCTACGCGAATGGCATAATTCGTTCTTAAAGCCATGAGTCGAAACAAGCAGGGTACACACGTAACATAACTCGTTCTTTACACCCTAAGTCCCCCGGGCCCTAATTCGAGACTGGCACGCTTAAAGCCACGAGTTGAAACAAGCA